GATCTCCAGAAGAGATCCTTCCCCTCTGGTAGCCAGCTCTTCAATAGGTCTAGGAGAGGTGCAGCCAGGCTCCACCCCTTCCTGCAGCACAGGTGAATTGCCTTCACCTGCGCTCCTGTGGCTGACTCATGGCTCTCCTCAGGTGATCAATCAGAGGTTCAGGCCGTGACTCAGCAGTTCCCACACACTTGCTCAACCATAAACCAGGGAGCCAGGCTTCCCCACTGTACTTCATACTCTGAATTTTTGGTCTCTAACACTGTTATAGGACTTCAGGTGTCCCCACCTCTCTGCCCTGAGCTGAAACACCCACTCTGGAATCAATTCAGGACCATGTCTGTTCTGGCCTGGCTTGTCTCCTTTTCCAGACCGAGATCAGCTGTGTAGGTCCCCAAAACAGAGGTTGTGTTTGCTGCTTTCTGTTATGAAGCTAATCATATCCCTCTACCTGACAGGAAACACGTGAGCAAGTTGAGCAGAGAGAAGGTAGAAAAACTGGCTGTAGCAGTAAAGTTGAAGAAGTCGGTAAGAAGCCATTAACAATAACTGACAGATTCTTGGATGTGGGGTTTAAGAGGACAAAAACTGCATGGTCTTATAGGGGAGGATGCAAACGTCTTATCTCAAGCAACCGAATCTAATCTTACTTGGAAGAAACTGCTTTGTTTTATAACTATCAAGGAGGGAAAAGATACGTGACAAAAGCCTGTGAAAGTCTTTGCAGAAGAGAAAGGTGGTACTTAATACGTCTCTAAAAAGATTAGCTTTAAGCACTTGCTCTCATTCCCTGAGTTTCTACTCAATCCCAGTCTCAAACACTCATGCTCCCAAGCCTGTGAACAAGTATGTGCAAAAGGCTTGGTCAGAATACTCATGTGATTGAGGATAGCAGGTTTTCAAGTACTCACCCTTTTTCTGGGACTCTTCCTGGCTAAAAACAGCAACTTTTCTGGAAATATCTTCACTGTTTGGGTCTGTAATGATGTAATGCTATAACATGATGGAGAGTTATAATAATAACTGCAATAATAGCAGGGTGGCACAAACCTAGTCCAAATGCAGCAGCCCCAGATGCAGAAATGAAGGAAGAAAAGTTTTCTAACCTTTGGAAGGCTTCCAGCAGGCAGAGATCTCCAGCACGGTCACTTTACTTTCACTGCTGGCCCTTAAATGAGGTCTGGGAAGGGGTGGATCCTGGCTCCACCTCTTTCAGTCACTCAGGAGTATTGCATGCACCTGAGCTCCCCTGGGGGTGGTCCTGCCTTCCCACCAGGTGCTCAGTCACTGCTTCAAGCCCTGACTTAGCATTTCCACTACAGAGGCCATCATCTGCAACTGGGTGGTCCTTTCCTGACCCTTGCTGAGTCAGCTTCCATAAGCCTTAGGCCCAGGTACACTGCACACTTTTCCTCCATTTGAAGAAAGCTGTTTGTTACCTGTTTTCCTGAGAAGCTAACAGGAGTGAGGGGGCCGTGAGGTGTATGCTGGTAGATGCAGGCTTCCTGCTGACACGTTAACTACGGAAACTGCACCTTGCTCAGGTGACGTTCCCAGGAACGTCAAGGGGATGGTGCCCTTTGGTGTTGATGGAGGTTGCATTTGTAGCCCTTCTTCTATTATGATAGTCCACTCATACTGCACTGATGCCAATCAGTATTTCTGTTACATGGCTCTACTGTCAGACCTTAGGACCCCTTCTCTTCCTTCCCGTCCAGCCTCTTCCAAGGTTGTAATCTGTGTAGGCTTTCCTAAGCATGAGGCTGTTCATGGCTTCGGGGCTTGGTTCAGGTTGGAAAATGAGTTCTGGGTGCATGCAAGGTCCTGTGGTGACAGCAGTGTTCCTATGTAGGGACCCAGCAGTTTCTGCTAGTATTCCCACTCCAAACCTTTGTGTGTGTTTTTATTTTATTTACAGAGTGGAAAGAGCAATGTGGAGGTGTCCCAGACAAACATCAAGGTGAGTAAGCTGAGCCATAAGATCCTGGAGCATGACATCGGCCGCAGCGCCAGCACTGGGTCCACCCAGCTGCAGAACCAGAGGCTCATGGAAGTCAAGCAACTACAAGGAGTGGAGATGGCCATGAGGCCGGAGCACTGCCAGCAGCATGCAGCGTGTCGGTCGGAGATGGAGCTGCTCTGGCAGCAGCTTGAGGCATCGCAAGAGGAAGTAGGTGCTGTTTGGTCATTGACAAGGTAGCATGCAGCTGGGTGGTCCCTGTGATGTTGGTGTTTCCCCACTTAGGGCTGTATTGAACACCTTCCCCAGACAGAAGAGACAGTCCTCTTTGAGAGCTACAAAGGAGTCACCCTTCTGCAGCTCCCAGCACTATCAATCCATGGCTTTGCAGGCTGCCTGTTAAGCCTACCTGTCATGATTCTACTGGTCTGCTGTGGCCATGATGACATGAGACCTAGGGTGGAGGCTGAATGTGCTGCTTAGCCCCTCCTTTTATGTGCAGCACACCTTCAACCTGTCCTATTGCTGGCACAATGCTGTAACTGGCAACCTTTCTCTGTTGCAGCTCTTTGAAGCCAAAGCAAGCTTGAGTCTGGCTCAGACTCAGCATGCACTGCAGCTGCAGCAGGCCAAGGCACAGCTGAACAACGTGGTGCCAAGGAAACAGTTTGAACAGCTGCAAGCCAGCTTGGAAGAGGAACAGTGCAAGGTTCAGCAGCTCCAGGCAAACCTCCAGCAGCAGGCTGAGCAGGCATGCAGACAGCTGGTCAGGACCCAGGTAAGCAGGGAGCTGCAAAAGTTCCCTCAAGGGTACCAGAGAGGGAGCACTACCAGCCTGGAATGGAGCTGTGGTCAAGGGCGCCAGAGGATTGGATGGAAAATTCTGTACCTGAAAAATGCAATTGATTTTCAAGTTCCAGCTGCAGTTTTCATTCCTTATGAATCTTGTCACCACCCTGTGCTTGATCAGGAGTACACTCCACTTCTATTCATCTACCTCAGACCAGATACCTTGTGCCTAGAGGGCAGGAATCATTTAGGGAGACACTTTGTGTTGGCTTAGGCTGTGGAAAGAAAGCTTGAGCCCTCTACATGGACATGCACAGAGCAGGCTGGCTTTAAATGTAGGGCACCAAGACAACAAGGTGTTGGGTTTTAAAAAACAGACTGGTGCTGAACTAGGGAAGGTGGTGCTGGTCTTAAGCACTCCCCACCAAACTCTTTGCATCTTGCAACACCTCCACTGCTCCCCCATTCACACTTCAGGGAGAGTGCTGGGACCTGGTGGGATGTATACATTACCTGGGACAGCTCAACATAACATCAGGATTTTGTTTCGTGCTGAAGAAAGAACATGAGCGCCTGTTGCAGGCAGCTGTGGAGCAGGCAGAGGGGTTGCAGTGTGACCTAAGGAGTGCTGAAGCTGCGCTTGCAGATGGGGCAGCTCGCCTCAAGGATGCACAGGTGAGTGCAGGAGGTGCTGGTGCCACTTGTCTCTGCTGGGCTGGGACTTCCATGGAGGGACACTGAACCTTAAGCCTCCTGTCTGTACCGCAGGCTCAACTGTGCAGGAACAAACTGCTGATTAAAGATCTCCATGAAGAAAACAGAGGGTTTGCAATGGCCCTGCAGGCAGCTGAACTGAAGCAGATGAGCGCTGAGAAGAAGAACCACATGCTGGAGGAGCAGGCCTTGGCCTTGAAGAAGCTCATTGGAAAAATCACACCAGCATCTCTGAGTGCATGATGGAGCACTGCTATGGCAGCCTTGCTCCTGAGCCTGGCTGAGGTTTGTCAGGTATGAAAGGAGAAATCTGGCCGAGTAATCAGCTTTGTTCTCTCTGATCTTGCCAGGATTTCCCTGGGTAGAAAGTAGAAAATAGAGATGCTAGTCCTTCAAGGAAATTAGTCCAGTGGGTAGCTTAATTTTCTTATTATAAATGCAATCTTTGGTGTCAGTCCCAATGGCAGCATGTGCTGTTGTCTCAGGGCAGCCATTCCCCAGGAGCTGCCTGCATCTGGAAAGCCAGGGCAGAGGGGGCTGCAGGTTCCTGCATCTGGTGTACTCTGAGTAGAAAGCTGTATTCTGTATTGTGGTATCAGTACTTCCTGCCATCTCCAGCCTCCTCTGAATTTCAGGTGTCTCCTGCAACTATTGCTGAATTTTTATTTTTTTTTTTTTTTTCCTCCTTCCCTACAGTTCCTCTAGGAGACTCTGAACCTGAAGTTTCCCAAAACCTGAGCCTAGGATCCAAACTAACTTGCTGGTGGGTTGTTGCCTCTGCCATAAGCAGATCAGAGCATCTGAGGGAAGAGTCCTCTTCAGATTTCAATCTCCAAAGCTTGGGGCAGGGCTGGTGTCCCCTGTGCACCACCATACTTCAGCAAGCTGTCCTTATTGCACATTCTCAGGGAGAGCAGGAAGCACGGTAAGTAAAGCACAGCATTTCACCTTCCGTGTTAAGTCTTCACTGGCAAGCTTTCTAAGATGCCACAAAACCAAGCATTCACAGGAGCAGATAACAGATATATTGATCAGCCCAGGGTATTACCCTCTGTACATCATTACACCCTGCCTTGCTCTCTGCCAGGCTGTGAAAGGACTTGTGATTCTCAAGGGACTGTGGTGACTGCTGCAGCAGAAAGACTAAACAAGCCTGACTGCAACAGAGTGGTGACACAGAGCCTGACAGTCAACATAGGCAAAAGGGCTTCAACATGATCAACCTAATGTTGGAATGAAAATAAGGGTGGATAAATTGGCTCTTAACTCCTAGCCTGGCAGTGCTGGGATGTTCTCCAGCCCTGCTTCTATAAGGGACAGGATAGGGACAACACCAGGAGAGGGCTGACTGAGAAGGCCTCAGGTCTATGGGTGATTTTTCTGTTGCAGAAGATGGCAGAGACTTCTCTTGTCTTGGGGCAGCCCTAAAGAGTAGGGCTATTGAAGAAGCTGGTAAAGATGAAAGCCCACACAGGGTGGCAAAACAAGGCAGGGAACACTCCTGAGCTACCCCTAGCTTAGGCTGGGAGCAGCAGTGAAAAAACTGCTTGGGCACTTCTCTGCTTGCATTCTTCCTTAAGCTACTGCTTTTTTTGCTTGTCAGATGGGCATCAGGCCAGGAAAGCCTGCAGTCTTACCTAGAGCTTATGCTTTTGGAAGTACTATCTCTCAGCCACTATTGAAAGTGAGCAGCTCCACATCTAGCCCCAGAAAGAAACTCTTGAAGCTGACCTGATGGTTGAAGTTCACTGAGACACCTAATGACCTCCTAAGCATCACTTTGCACAGTCAATCTGGGTTGAACAAAAGAGCCAGGTCAGAGAGCTGTAAAGAGCATAACATAGACTCTCGAAGAGCTATTAACATTGAAAGCTGAAGCAGTTTTTTATTTGGCAGCTGTGGAACTCTCCCAGCTGGTCAGTCTCTTATTTTCCAAGGCACAAAGAACTGCTCCAAGCAAAACTGCATTCACAAACCCTGCTTGTAGCTCTGGTGCTTACAAGACACCCTCCACCCACTGCAGGACTCTCAGGCTTACTGTGTTACTGCTACGCACCCTTTGGTCACAAAGTGCTGGCCAATGTGGTTTGCTTACAAGCTTGGAGATGATCTTTGTGTCAAGCTGTTATGAGGAGTTGTAGGGTGCTCTAAAATACTGAGGCGGCTGAAGTCCTGCACAGACCACCAAGCAAAGGCTCCTGTCCTGCACGCTTATGACAGAATGTGCTCCAGGACTCCTTGTCTGATTAACTGCTCACATTTCCAGCGGGGCAAGAAGTGCTGCACAGAAACACAGACAGATTTTCCCTGAAATACAGGCAGACTGAATTTGTTATTACATAGCCAATTCTGCTACATCACAGATCAGGCAGGGGTGAAGTGCAGTCCTGGTGCATGCAGACAGCTTGCAGCACACACAAGGGAGCCACACATGGGGGAACTGTGACATGCTGTAAAGCTGGGATGGGCAGGGCTACGTCACAAGAGTGGAAGGGAAGGAAAAGAACAGGAGAGGATTTAAACCTTGTTTTCATGTCACAGGTACCTGGCTGTTCTTCTTTAACAGGACAGTGGTGCCATCATCGATCTCAAATTCTCCATAGTCTCTCAAACACCGCACCTGTGAAGCAGAAGGGTAGCTGTGTCTGCAGCAGCACACCTCCCACAGAAAATGTCAGACATCACTGCAAGAGACGCAAGAGTTATGGAGCATGTGTCTGAAGTGTGGACATATTCCTACCCACCTCACACAGCCCTGACTTGAAAATACAAAACCAGGTGGACCCCATAGTCTGAGGGCCCTACCTGATGTTCTCTTCATGCCTCTGCCTGCAACATGAAGCACAGTGGGCAGAGCAGGCACTCCAGAGACTAGGGAAAGAGTAGCACTGCACAACAGCAGCATTTCTAGAGCCTCCTCACACATGTAGCAGAAAATGTCAGTCTGTTAGCAGTGAAACAGTTATAAAGAGCAGGCTGGTTGCCTGTATGTTTTCTTTCTAAGAGAACACAGCACTCAGCTACTGACTCCGAAATAATTTTCCACTTGCTTTTGCTTTGCTGTATCAATGGCATAAAATGATTTATAGTCTGATCTGTGAAAATCTATTAAACAATGACAAGAAAGCACCAACACCTAGTTAACAATGCTTAAGTGACAACAAGGTTTCTAATTGATCTGAAGAGGTCTTTAGAAGAATAATTGAATTGCTACAAACTACAGGCTGCAAGAACTTTTCACTGCCATTCAGAGCACTCACCACTACTACACACATTTCCTGCAGACTAGTCATGCATTTGTCAGCATACTTTGTTCACAGGCAGCAGCCAGCACTCGTGCACTTACTTCAATGTACAGGCTTTTAGGAGGCTTTATGTCCTGTGTAAGGTCCAGTCCCTCCTCTCCTCCCACTGACCTCATGTAGGTAGCTAGGGATTTCTTGTACCGATTGAACCACTCCACCTGCAGATGCCAACAGCAGTCCCTCAGGCAGAGCCACACAGCTCATGCTGAAGGACATGTTCCTGATGGGTGACACCTGGTTTGTTTGTGCTGTCACAGCTCTCCTTTGAGTACGAGTTCTTCTAAAGGGGGAAAAAAATAAAATCTGTTCTGGGCACAGGGCAGTCTGGATTTGGGCTGGCAAACATGCTGACCAGCAGCTCTGTGCTTCAGTCCAGCATTTGACTGACAGCATTTGAAAGCAGCATGTGAAGACTAGGATGGTCAGAGCAGATGACCTTACTGGTCTTCCCAACCTTTACGCTTCTATGAACAGAGTTCTGTGGGCTGTGAGTCTGATCTGATGAAGGCGATGATCCTTGAAGTGGTCATGCATTACTGGTACTTATCATGCATTTGGGATTGCATCCTTCAGGCATAAAGAAACAAACTGGTATTTACAGTAAGGCACATCAGGTGTCTCAAGTTTATAGTAAAGGAAAAAGACGTAATGCTGTTCTGACTGTACTAAATCATTTGGGAGGAGTGAAGGAATACTGAGAGGGAAATAGGGTAACAGTTGAAAAGCAGGCTGACTCACTTCCTCGGCTGCCATGTGGAACTGGATGGCATTGGGCAGAATGCTTCCATACTCCCACCGGAGCGCCCGGATCCGTAGCAGCCGGTCGTACCTGGGGGGGACACGAGTGGCAAACACGGCATCTTTGCTGATGCAGCGCCTGTTTGCCCTCGCAGCGCTGGGCAAGAGCTCTGCTTAGGGCTCTCTCCTTCCTCTGAAGGATGCCGTTTTTGACCCGTTCATTAGTTCGAACTTCTCGAACAGAGGAGAAAGCCGGGGGCGCTGCAGGCCGGGGCCCCAGCACGCAGCACTCACAGGTAAGCCACGATGCAGCGCTGGTTGCGGAGGAGGCAGCAGTGCCGAAACCGGATGAGGAAAATCAGATCCGTTCGGCCCGACTTCGCTTCAGACCTGGCGGATGAGGAGCCCGGTTACAGGGCGGCGTTACAGAGCTCCGCGGCCCCGCCCTCCCCATTCAGCTCCCACCGCGGCACTCACACATCCGCCTGGTTCCGCTCGTACAGCGTCCGCATCTCCTCCAGCACCTGCCGCAGCTCCTCCGCCTGCAGCACCGCAGAAGCCCGGTGAGGACGGGCCGCCCTCGGCTCGGCCCTCGCCCCGCTCCCACCGCACTCACCCGGAAGGGCGGCAGCCGCCCGCCCGCAGCGCTCTGCAGCTCCCGCACAAGCCCGACCGCCCGCTCCCCCGCCATGCTGCCGTGCCGCGCGCGCGGGAAATTTGGCCGCCCCGCAGCCAATGGGAGCCGAGGGGCGGGGCCAGGAGGGAGGCCGCGGCTCCCGGGAACGGGGCTGCGAGGCGGGAAGGGGCGGGTGTTCGACGCTGGGACTGGGATTGCGCGGGAAGGTGCGGTGAAAAGGGGCAATTAAATAAATAAATGTGTGTGTGTGTGTATGTATATTATATATATATATATAAATATATATAAAACAGTCACTTTGAATTGGCTTTTGACATGCGTTTTTGAATTGAGTTTTTAAATTGCACTTTGAAATGCACTTTATCATTGGAACAAATGCAGTCAGCGTTTAAAATTGGACCAAATGCGATTAGCAATGTAATGTTTAGAATATAAAGGTGAACCTGTTTTCACTGCTCTTCTGTACGGCCTTCCCGAGGCTGGCCTGTGCCCCAGCCCACTCTGCTCCCGCTGCCTTTGGTCCCCATCCCATCCCCAGGTGCTGCCCAAACCCAAGTCAATGGGGGTGAGGAAGTGGGGGGCTCCTGCAGGTGGGCAGGACATCTGGCAGCCTGAGGCCAGGCACCCAGCCCTGTCCTGCTGTGGGCATTCACTGCCAGAACTTTGTCTCTCTGATTTCATGGGTCTCTACGTTGGCACCATTGGCACACACAGGCAGTGCTGGTGCTTCAGGAGCCCGTCCTGCTGAGCTGGGAAGGATCGCAGTGATCAGCATCCTTCCCCACTTCCACATCCCCAGTTCCATCAGTCCCCAGCTTGACCCATCCTCAGTTCCATCCATCCCCAGTTCCAGCTGCAGGGAGCCACTGGGTACAGCAGCCATGAGCAGGGGTGGTCGTTTGGGGGCAGCTCTTTGCCAGATTAGAAAACATAGAGATAGACAAAATGAATGAAGAATTTACAAACATCTATATTTTGTGTTAGGAAATGTGATAAAATTAGGAAAACGGCTGAAGACACTGATTTGTACAACTCTGGGCTACTTCAGGCAATGAGAGGTTTACATAGCACGGGTTTAACAAGATAAAGCTCTCCCACAAAGCACACAGGTGACAGACAGCTTGTCGGAACCGGACACAACACAGCACCAATACACGTGTGATGTGATGGACAGTGCCAGGCCATTCCCCGGGTGGGTAACATACAACCTCTGGATAAGGCAATTCTTAATTCAAGTCACAACATACCCAGGCAGCATGCAGGGAAAAGTCATTTATTTTATACATTGGGATGACACACCTCGCAACGTTTCCATGTTATGTAGCATATAAACCATTCAAATAACATATATATATATGCTTTATATGTATATATATATATATATATATATATATATCTCAAGTCAACAGTTTTCTTTACAGGAAAAAAAATTTTTTGTTTTTTGGTTTGTTTTTTTTTTTTTTTTTTTTTTTTCTTTTTTGGTAAAAATAAAACTATTTGAATTCCCTAATTAACAAAATGCACAGTGATCAGAAACCCAGTTCTTCTCCCAGCTGCTGCCCATCCCCATGATGCCACGGTTGCAGACGCTGCCGGGGGCTCCATCCCACACACCCCACATCCCTGCTTCACCCCCTGCACCTCACACTGCTGCCTCCTCTCCACTACAAGTGCATGAGGAGCCGATCCCGACCCATCCCTTTGTCACCAATCTCTGGCTTTTTACCATCAAGAAGTTTTATGACTGCTCAGAAGCAAAAAACAAACCACCCGACCCAGCGACCCATCCAACCCAACCCCTCTGCCATACGTATCTCTGGTAAGGTGGGGTCTGATGGGTACAGATAAGGACGAGTTCCTGGTGCAACAAGTGTAAGGATCGCAGACGATGATGGGAGGTGATTTTCTAGCATTAAAAAGCTCTTTCGAGCAGAAACTCTGAGGAAGGATAATAAGACTTTTGTTTTGTTTTTGTTTTTGTTTTTGTTTTCCCAACAAAATAAAGAAATCTCTAATTTCAGAGCAGACGGATCTGGGCAGCTTCACCCCTGGTTAACCTCACACCCACCAGGCCCAGCTCTGACTTGTGGCATTGCAGATGGAGCTGCAGGGCCATATGAGCGTGATCCCTCGGGGGTGGTTTGGGGGGCCCAGCTCATCCCACAGGTGCTCAAACTGTGGAGGGGGCACTTGCCCACATCTCCTCCCCTCTGCTGTGTCCCATCCATCACCCGAATGGTAAGAAGTCATCCTACGTCTCCCTGTGCCTCTCTGTGTCCCTCTGCTCCTCTACATACGGCTCTGGTTAAAAAGGAAAAAAACAAAAAACCAAAACATGGGTCTTTTTTGTTGCCCTTATATATATACCAAAATAAAAGCAAGTCTTCCCAAGAGAGCAGGGAGAAAGGTGCTTTCACAATGACATTCAGAGCAAAGAGAGAGAAACGACGCTTACAGACCATTAAGAGAGCTATCTTTGGCAGAATATTTCAAATAAATTATTATTACAAATAATTTCCACAGTCGTATGTTTATTTTGAACATGTCACTTTCAGCTATAGGGGTACTTGTTCACTACTCTCTATGAACTGGGAAACACCACAGATATAAAAATAGATGAGTTCAGCACAATTTCTCGAGGCTGCCACGACTATCTCTGATGGTTTCAAACGACACAGAAAGCACAGGGTGGCTCTATGGCCATGTGTGGGACGGTCAGCCTTCGGTGGGGACGGGATGTGTGGCGTCACCATGGCTTCGGATGTGGCCTCGCATCTCCGGGTGCACTGCCCCATTTTTGGGCCAGGTCCCGTCCCCATGTCCACAGTCACCCCAAGGGATGCCAGGTTGTCCGGTGGCTGGCCTCCCCTCACCCCGCAAACATTTAGGCTTAAATACTTTGCTTTGTTTATACAGCATGTACAGAATATACAGCACTGGGTGATTGTTCCCCAGTAGACTACGAGCGTCTCCCAAGATGACCTCTTTTATCAACAAATATATATAAATCAACAGTCCGAAAAGAGTCGTACCAACAAATAGTATGGCTTTTCAAATAGTGTAGCTGCATCGTGTGAGCCGACAAGGAACCGCGCGAGAGAAGAGATGGAGAGGCTTGAGCTGGAGGCTGCCCGGCATGGTGCGCCCACTGGGGCTCGGAGGGCTGAGCAGTGCTGCTGGGCTCTCCCTCCTGCCCCAGTGAGGTTCTGCCTCGCTGATGGAAGCCTCCGATGAGGCTGCAAGAGCTCTGCTCCTGAGGTGGCTTTACCATCATCTGGCTGTTTGTCCCAGCGTCAGGCTGGAGCTCGGAGGAGGGCTCCCCGCTATCTTCTCTCAGTCTGCAAAAAGTCCCATCTGGCCATGCTGCTGAGCTGTGGCCTCCTTGGGAAGCCTGAAGGTCCGGATTATCAGCAGAGCCCAGCCTCCTGCCATGAGGCACCATGGGCTTAGTGCTCTGTGCAGGGCAGGAGCTGGAGGAGCCTTGTGACGAGGGTGGCCATTGGGGAACAAATACACATTGACTTGGGAAGGAGAGGGAAGCCACGTGGAACAGATAGGTGAGGATATGGGAGGTGCTGGCTTGTCTTTTTGCTCAGGGCAGCTCTCACTGCTCAGCAAGACCAGACCACCACAGAGCCAGCAGTCTATGAAAGCTGTTTTTACCCCCAGACCGGCCTGGGACAGGCTTTGATTTGGGCATAAAAGAGAGGAAATAAATCCAGCCTCTACAGAGAGGCCAAGGGAGGGCCCTGTGAGTGTCCCCCGTGTCCTGTGAGGGTCCAGGAGCTCTAAGGCTGGGTCAGTACCAGAAGTTGCTGCAGCTGGATGTCTCCCAGCAAGGACATTGTCTCAACCTCATGCTATCACCACGCAGCAGGACTGGGCCTTGATTGAGCTCTGCCCACTGTAATGTGGAGCCGGTGGGTTTTTTAGAACATTTAGTGCTGAGAACAGGCGCTTTTTTGATCTGAAAGAGGTGAAGTGGACCTCGAGCCCCCAGTTACAGTGTTCAGTTTGCTCTGACATGCTCAGGTGGGGAACAACAGCATGTGTGGGCCGTGAGGACGTGGAAATTCAGCAGAAACATTGGAACTTCCAACACCCCCTGAGGGAGCGACAGTAAAAGCAATCAGGAAGGGCTCGGTGTGCCCGCCTTCTCCACTGCCACCTGGAAACATGCACGGTGGCCATTGCTTGCCTGGCCTCACGTCCAAGATGCTGGGGAGCATCGCTGTCACTGTGTCCCAGCCATCAGGTGCATCCAGCTGACAGTCACAGCATTCAGGTTGGGGACAGCCCCTCAATGGGGTTTCCAGCGGAGGGACATAGCGGTGCTGCCCCTGTCCCCATGCCAGACATCCAGCTGGCAGCGCCTGTTTCAGCAGCATTCCCACTCCTTCATGCCAGGGCTGGTGACGAGCTTGGCACCTCCGCTTCCAAAAGAGGGAAGTCTCAAGTCCTTAAAAGGTGAGGAATCTGGCTGTATTTATTGTCCCTCGGCGCATTTTGCAAGAATACAGAGGCCTCTGGATGCTTTCCTGCACAAGTCGAGCTTTTACAAGATAAACAGGCTTTCCCGCAGCTGTGCCTGTGTGTGTGGTTGGGCATCTTGAGAAGCTGGGGAGGCTCCTGGTGCTCTGCAAATGTGCTGCCTGGGATGGGCGCAGGTGCCAAAGCCTGTGGAAGAATCCTGCAAAGGTTTCTCCCAGAATTATTCCCTCCAGCATGAAGCTTTTCCTCTTCTCTCTCCCTCTGGCACACTGGCACACCGGCACTTCTGGGCTGGTAAGGTGTCCGATCCTCCTCCTCAGGCACACACATAGCCCCCAGTACTGCCGCTCTTGCTTCATACCCAAGCGTTTAAAAATAACCCTAACAATAACACACATGCTCCAGCCCTCTCCTCCTGGCACGCAGCAAAAATAAATAGCACACTGAATTCACAGACCACATCTAGTTGCTTGGCATAGTTGAGGCATGTGTCTACCAGAAAGGGTCTCCAGCCCTCCCCTGCCCTCTTGTCCTTGTAGGAAGTGAAAAACATAGGGAGAAAA